CCTGACATACAAACTGGTCCCGATTTTCAATCTTCCATGCTCTGAACACATCACAGATTCTCCCCGAAGGGGCAGGTTCCAGCCAAAAGTTTTTAAATCTCCCTCGTGTTTACACCTCGCAGAAAAAGACTTGTACACTTGAAAGTTTTAAAATAAAGCTTATGTTTCCTTTATGGTAAAGCCAAGCACTGCCTGCAGCATGCAACTCAACTGCTTAAAAAACACTGATTGGCAGAGGTATTTGGAAAGATCTCCGAGAATAATTAATACTGATAAAGTTGTTTACAGAATTCTATTAGGGGGCTTAGTGGACTTTTATCTGTTGCTGTTGATCTTTAAGCATTCAAAACCAGCTCAGTCTGAAACCACAGCCTTGTCCAACATTGTCTATCTGGCTTGTTGCTACCCTGACCAAAACCAACACCCAGTTTTCAGTTTGGAAGCTTTCCCTGTCTCAAGGCAGTGAAAAGACTGTACCCTTTGGTCTCCCATGATGAACTGTCACTATCTTGCCCAACTCTCAGGTCAATTTTTCAGAGTATACCTGATAACCTGAAAGATTCCATCCTGCCAAGGTACCAATCGGGCAATAATCTGACCTGTGTGCTCCTGACTTGAGAAAATGGTACTTACTTGTTCCTGAAGCAGGAGTCACATCTACAGAGCTTAAAAATTATTTGTTTTATTGAGAACACTCCAGACAAAAAACCCTGTGCAAAGCAGAAAGTCAGGTGACACTGCCACAGCCAGAAATGAAAATGGTGCTAATTCACAACTGTATTAGGAGGAGAGGTTGTTTTTTCCCTCGTCACGACAATTATTCCATAACAATGATTCCTATACTTTGGCTGCTTTTTCAGGAGGGAGGAATATGATTTAGGTCAAGATGCAAATTTGAAGAAATTACTGGTTTGTTGGTTTTTTTTTTTCCTTTTCTATCAGCAGACACACAACAATTCCAACAACAAGATCTGAAGTGTTAACTGTGTCATACAGCAAGCACCTTTTGTTGCCACGTTCAGAATGAGACTTTCATAATTTAATAGTTGTCATCTGAACAGGAGTGTCTTGTTTATACATCCTTCCAGTATAAGGACATTAATTCTGTGTGACCCAGAAAAGCAGTTTAAGTGTAACAGATGTTCTATATTTTCAAAGAAATGCTGAAAACAGAAAGACATACCTGGTGTATGATCTGAGCTACGGGAAGTTGTTCAGCGTATTTTAGTGGTTCTGCAGCCAACTCATCCTCTGGAAACCTGCAAAGAAATTAAGTTCACATTTGTCAAAGCTAATACAATGTCTGCCAAATTAAATTACTGAAATTGGGAGTTTCAGGGATATTATTTTGCTTAAGATGAAGAAAAAGTGTATTTTGTGGCGGTAATGGAATATATTTCTTACAAAGCTGAGCAAAATAATAAACCTACAGTAAACAGAAATGTGTGTAACATTGTGGATTGCTTCCCCTGACATAAAGCACAAATTTAGCAGCAGAAAGCTGAGAAAACCTTTACATTTAGTTTTAGGTGAAACAAAGCACTGGTGGCAGCTGGATTGAAAATCCCCACGATAAAAAATGCCTTATGCATTTACAGAGCAGGTTAACAACACAAGCTTCTTCACTCCATCCTGCCAACACAACTCAAATATGACCATCTCCAAGGGCGAGAGGGATTATTCACCACCTCCCATTTCTGCTGCAAGTGACATCAGTGCTCAGATGAGGGAGAAGTTCAATCCCACAAATCTATTTCCAGCACGGTAAGTACCAGTTATCAGAAAGCCAAAACACTAGTGTGGGAAAAAAAAAAAAAAAAAA